GTGCGTACCCGATTACATACTTCCTCACCAAGCACTGTACCACACTTGCAAAACATCGCGCAAAAATGTTGATAACAAAAACTGTAGGTGAAAGCAGCATAATTGCGGCTAGTCATTATATCGGGAGCTAGGGTGCTTTCTACACAATCGAGACTAGGAATGAAGTGTAAACAATAGATGTACATTTAAAATAATTCAGCTTGTCAAAAAAATTCTGGGCCGTGGTCTAACGGTCTAACAAGCACAATAAATTGTACAAACCACTTGAAGCTCTTCTATAATAGCATAAAAAACTGCACAGCGTCTAGTAGCAAGTTTTATGTCTTAACGCTGCCTAATGCCGCAAGTGTCGAAGTCGCCCAGTTTGTGTGCCAGCTTTTTTGATTATCATAAATGTTGATTGGGTTCTAATTCTATATATATGAATACACCAGATGAACCTGCGCGCTTGGTGTCAAAGCCACCACTTCCGCCTAAACGGCGCGCTATAAACCGCAGCTTAAAGCAGCGTGAGCGTGAAGCACCTGACGTGGACTGGGAACGTTCTCTTGAGCACTTTGCTGCGGCTGTAAGCGACGATCTGGACGAACTGCACGCGCGTTTCATCAAAAAGGTTAGTGTTGCCACTAATGAATGTGATTGTATTTTTGAGAAGCATGATTGACATAGTTTGGCTTATAGAACGAAGTCACATTCTCTTCCTGGAAGCAATTGTGGAATGATGCAAGAATGAGTGCCGCTTTCCATGTAGAATTCTGGGACAGCTCACCCACCAATACGCACAAGACTATTTTACAACAAACACTGGATGCACTTGTACATTGCATTGAAGTAAATGATGGTGCATTTGAGAGCGTAGCAGAAGTCACGTCGCTGATCGGACGCATATTCGCACTCTACTCTGCCTTCTCAGTGCAGCTTGGCGTTCCAAAACACAAAATTGACGTCGACCCGAAGGCATGGTCGGCGCTGCTGACGATCGATTTCGTCATGCGTAGTACTGCGGCGTCGTTGTTGCCGACAGCGGCGCGAGAGGTGAAAGCCATTATGCATCGTCTTGTGGTGGAAGAGAAGACGTTTTTGCGTTGCCTTCAAGGGTTTGGACCTAGTGTTCGAGTTAGATATCATGTGGCAAGTGGGCAAGCTTTTCAAAGAGCTAGCGCTGGTCAAGATTTGCTTACTGGAACAGACAAAGCCGTGGAGAGAAATGCTCCGGTAAGCTTTTCTACAATTGAAGAACTCAAGTCACTGGATGCTCACTACCGAGAGACAATGGGTCGAGCTCAATCTTTCACGACTGTTCTCTCAAGTTCTGGTGCCGTATTAACGGGACGGCGAAGTAATTTGACTTTGTCTGCATCTAAGCTTCCAAAGCTAGATCTAAGCGATAACATTCAAAACTTGACTCATGCATTGACGACATATGCCGTGTATAAAGCGAATGCAAAACAACGTAAGAATGATCGTGTTGCGCGTGCAGCAGCTGCTCGTGAAAAAGATGAAAGAAAGTTGTCTCAGACAAAAGCCAACAGTGAGGGCGGCGATAATAATTCAAATTTGAATGATTGCGTGACAGACCAACTCAGTTCAAGGGCTGAGTCTTTAGCCAAGGCTCAGGACAATCCATTGAGACGACGCGATAGCAACAGTGAGGCCTTTTTCGAGTCTGAATTATATGCGGATATTGTATGCGAACAAGTCGAATCTGGTATAGACCCGGCTACAGTAAATATACGAAAATCTTTGCAATCAAGCGAGATAAGTGACGAAGACAGCGATCCTCTTGCTGATCTTGAATGGGAACTAACACAAAGCATAAATGCTGTCTCACCTCAAGGTGTGAGGCACAATGAATCAGATAAATCACCACCTCTTGCTCGTTTGAACCGATCCAGTGCCAAAACAATTTCCCGACAAAAATCAGTCTCTACCTCAGTTACTTGTCGAACAAAAGCGAAACAATATTCAGCCATCAGTGAAGCACGAAAAGAAGCCAGTGACGCTAACTTTGGCCGGGGTGATTTGAAGCTTGTGACGTCTGAAAGAAAAAATTCAGTGCCGAAAAATGCATTGACTTCTCTTCGTCGTGAAGAGACTCAAAGCCTTGCTCTTACAAGTAATATTATAGGAAAAGGCGCTCAAACCTTGGCTTCCGAACGAATGTCTGCTAAAGATGTTAAATCTCCTGCCGTTTCTTCAATGAGAGCGACAAAATTTTCAGCGGGTAGCGCTATCTCAATTTCCGATTCATGGGCTACGCAGTCCACGGCTGATAGTGATGGTCTCTCCACGATACAAGCTGAACTAGACGCGATTCCAAAGCTTGCGAAGTCATTCCAGGCTGCTTGCGATGAATATCCTACTAGTCTTACAGCAGCAAAGAAGAATCGAAAAGAAAAGGAAATGACTTGTCAGTCCTCACCAGATGTGCTACGTCAAAACAGTGAATTTAATTGTACTGGCAGTGAGAATGCTGGACAAAATCGCCTTATGCTGCCATCAGGTCATTCTACGCAAACATTTCCAGCGCATAGCAATGTGGTTACCGAACAGCTGAAAGCAAAAGACGATTTTTCTAGTAGCAATCAAGTTGCTCAAAGATCACGGGTGAGCGCTTGCGAAAGATCGATGGCTTCCGATTTCAAACTTCGGAGATCATCGCGCTTTACTTCTCTGGCATCCGATGCTGAGAGCAATGCACTTGGTGAGCTTGAAAAGGAGCTTGACGCTTCTATTTTAATGGAACCAGTCTTGCCGTTATCAAGATTGGTTCGAACAAAGACGACATCTCGAAAACGAGTTTCAAAATCGCCGCCTGTTCGAAAATCGATTCGAGGAAATGCTAAGAAGCAAAGACTAACCACGATAAAAGCTTCTCACAAATCTGGAACGAATCAACGAACATTGTTAGACAAAGGTCAAGATTCATCTCAAAGAAATGGTATGGCTGGAGACAGTGAGAGTGATGGGTTAACCGAGTTGGTAGCAGAGCTCGACTTTAATGTACCTGCACAGATGCATTCTGTCCCAACCTCAACCAGTTTTGAAAGGTCGACTGCGCCATCGAAGATTATGTTGTCCCCAGTCCTTAAACCCTTACCTGCTCAAAATTCCTCTAGCATTCGACGATCTGCTCGTCTAAATTCTATAGCTTCAAAAAGCGAGAGCGAAGCATTAGAGGACCTTATGTTAGAGCTCAGCGGTACACATGCTGCCCATAATCTTTCAGTGGTTTCTGCGACGAAGCCTCATTTTCAAACAAGAACAACTCGGAATCAAATAACCCGCACAAAGGGGGAAAAGTTAAGACGGGGTCAAAACGAAGATGGACCTCAAAAAAAGCGATCACGTCCAACATTTCCGACCAAGCTTAAAATGAATAATGTCGAAAATGAAGCAATGGCGAATCCTTCCTCACGTCAGCGGGTTCTATCAATGGATCTTCGCAGCTCTCGACGATCCGATTCTGTTGTTTTTGATAGTGATAATGACGGGACGGGCTAACATGCTTTGAAGCAGAATTGTAAGCAGGGCCCATATGACGTTACAGGACTATCAATTAGATCTTGCAATGAAAAAGGCGAATTATTTACTGGTGGAAGAAAGTGACAATTTGCAGTGGCGTGTGAAACTTATTGAGCATTGAGTGGAGATATCAACAGTAAGTTGATTCTCATCCACTTTACTAAAAAATTGTTTGACAGCTCCTTTCATCAAAGCAGATGTGACGCGCGTGGTACTGACGCGTAGAGATATTAAGCTCCAAAACGACCGATTTGCCGGCTTAGATGCTTCACTGAAATAAACTCGCTGGTACAGAGCGCACTTCTCGCTGGTGGAGGCTACAGAGCGCACTTCTCGCTGTTTGTAGCAAGTTTATATTCTCGACTGATGATCGTAACTGGCTGCTGTGCAACTTTGCAAATCGATCCACAGCTTGTTACCTTAGAGTTCTTACTTTTTGCCGATGAGTAATGTACTTATGAATGTGTGCGTGATAAGAATCGAGAGTACAATGCGATTGTTGCAGATACTACAGATAGAGAGACATCTCTAGCTCCGACGCAATAGAACAGCTCTTATTTCACTATGCGGGACATAGTCGTAGTATGACATGGCACATTAGACTAGCTATGATTCTACCAATATATCAATTGAAAATTACAGGGAGAAATTATTGCAGATGTAATGTGCCACGTTAATCAAGTTTCTAGTCAGCAAATGTTATACACATGCTTGCTCTTGCTTCATAGCAGACTCCGTTGTCATGCAGCGTAATAGACAAGCTCGAGGCTAAAATTCGGTAGCGGAGTACAATATTGAAGAGATCGACCAATAGAATAAAAAGCTTACAATTGCGTAGCAGGAGATAGACAACCGGAAGTCTTGTCAGCAGAATGCGCTGATCCAAGGCTTGCAAGTTAACACGGTTTTTCATTTTGTGTTTTGCTCGTATATCGCCGCGAGCGAAACTAGTGAAATTCTGGGATTCAGACGAAAACGGCTGAAAAGCCGACGCAATAAATCTAGTGAATGGCTTCTGTTGACTTTCAAATGCCCTTAACGTTGGTGTCAGCTCTCACTTTCGCAAAATGGGGGGAAAAGCAGAACAATCCAGCGCTTACTGCAGCTAGACATGCGGCACCGTATGCTGGTCCATCGACTGAAGCAATGTAAGTCCATCCAGATAAGACTAAATACCAAAGCGGATACAGATGATATCTCTTTCAAAAGCATCCGAGAACAAAAGGCTTCAAAAACTTACTTGGACCGACAGTGCGGGAGATGGACTTCGAAATTGCGTTTGGTAAGTAGTTTAGATACATTGTTCAAAGATAAAGGTCAACTTACTGTCAATGAAGACGATATCCCCATAAATGCGCCGACATGCTCATGTGAAACGAATGTAGTCTGTAATGCCACTGAACTCGCACGAAGTATACTGAAAACATCACACATGTTGACGTGTAATCTTAGTAGGTAATTAAGGTTTTACTATACCTGATGGTAATGACTTGTGGTGCTAGCATCATGTACACAGTACTGATCTCGGTAGCACTCGATAGCGCAAAAAACGTAATGACATAGATAATAGCTGAAGATTGCAGCACCAATTTCTCGGATTTTACAGCCTTCGTAACAAAACCCACCGAAAAGCTTCCAAGAAAGCCTAATAGACCCATGTAGCTCAGTACAAGTCCGCGATCTTTCGAGTCCAGATGGAACTTATCCTCCAGCAGCACTGAAAAGTGGCTCCTGTATAAAATAGCTGCCATAGAGAGCAATAATCTCGCAAATAACAGCGTCTGCGCCGGCTTAGATTCTTTGATGATATCACGAAATCCGAGCAATTTTATCCACGCATTGTGTAGCAACTGTCTCCAGTCGATGTGATGGTCGTAGTGTTCTCTTTCATGCTTGGTGTTTGTTATAGCTGGGGAGAGAGAGCCGTGGCACCTTAATTCGAGATACCACAAAGATACGAGGATGTAATTTAGACCAAACAGTGCTGTGGTTAATAGCGCTGTGTAATTAAAACCATTGGGAATGGAGCTCACGTAACCCCCGATCGTTGGGCCAATAATGAATCCAGCATTGGCCGCTGCATTAAGACGTCCGATTGCCGTCGATCGCTTGTCTGTCTTCTCGCCATCTGTTATAGCTACCTTGACGATGTCAAGTGTGTGCTTAAATAGCGCAGCTGGAATTCGAGAGAGAACCACAACATAAATATTCCATGATAGACCGAGCAGAAGATATCCAGCAGAAGATCCAATCAAACATGTGAGTAGCACGCGTTTGCGACCATAGTGGTCACTTAAACTACCAACTATGGGCGCCGCAAAGAATTGGATAAAACCATAAAGCGACATGATCAGTCCAAATATCATCGCGCCACCTTCCATCGACTTCACGTACTGTGCTAGCGATGGGATGATCATCGACACGCCTAGCATATCAAGAAACGACACGACGTACAGCACACGCAGCGACAGCCAGCATTTCGGCGACATCCAGACAACTACGTATTTGTTCACACATTATATATTCGTATCTAACGCGACTCTAATCTCTCCATTTTTCTCATTTGTGCCAATTGCCCACAAGTGATGACTTCAGAGCGTGTGGTGATCGGTGCTGGCCGCCTC